TCGGACTCCTTACCTCTTCCGGTTCCCAAATTTGGTCCATTTGATGTTCCTCCCTTGGATTGAGACCGTTTCACTCATGTTTGTCCTCATAGTCATGTGTAGAAGCTATTAATCCATGTTTGGTAAGTATGGGTCCATCTAGTTCATCTTATACACTACAAGTGAGTTTCCACAATGTGGAGGCACAGAGGTACATTTCGGACTCCTTACCTCTTCCGGTTCCCAAATTTGGTCCATTTGATGTTCCTCCCTTGGATTGAGACCGTTTCACTCATGTTTGTCCTCATAGTCATGTGTAGAACCTATTAATCCATGTTTGGTAAGTATGGGTCCATCTAGTTCATCTTATACACTACAAGTGAGTTTCCACAATGTGGAGGCACAGAGGTACATTTCGGACTCCTTACCTCTTCCGGTTCCCAAATTTGGTCCATTTGATGTTCCTCCCTTGGATTGAGACCGTTTCACTCATGTTTGTCCTCATAGTCATGTGTAGAACCTATTAATCCATGTTTGGTAAGTATGGGTCCATCTAGTTCATCTTATACACTACAAGTGAGTTTCCACAATGTGGAGGCACAGAGGTACATTTCGGACTCCTTACCTCTTCCGGTTCCCAAATTTGGTCCATTTGATGTTCCTCCCTTGGATTGAGACCGTTTCACTCATGTTTGTCCTCATAGTCATGTGTAGAACCTATTAATCCATGTTTGGTAAGTATGGGTCCATCTAGTTCATCTTATACACTACAAGTGAGTTTCCACAATGTGGAGGCACAGAGGTACATTTCGGACTCCTTACCTCTTCCGGTTCCCAAATTTGGTCCATTTGATGTTCCTCCCTTGGATTGAGACCGTTTCACTCATGTTTGTCCTCATAGTCATGTGTAGAAGCTATTAATCCATGTTTGGTAAGTATGGGTCCATCTAGTTCATCTTATACACTACAAGTGAGTTTCCACAATGTGGAGGCACAGAGGTACATTTCGGACTCCTTACCTCTTCCGGTTCCCAAATTTGGTCCATTTGATGTTCCTCCCTTGGATTGAGACCGTTTCACTCATGTTTGTCCTCATAGTCATGTGTAGAACCTATTAATCCATGTTTGGTAAGTATGGGTCCATCTAGTTCATCTTATACACTACAAGTGAGTTTCCACAATGTGGAGGCACAGAGGTACATTTCGGACTCCTTACCTCTTCCGGTTCCCAAATTTGGTCCATTTGATGTTCCTCCCTTGGATTGAGACCGTTTCACTCATGTTTGTCCTCATAGTCATGTGTAGAAGCTATTAATCCATGTTTTGGTAAGTATGGGTCCATCTAGTTCATCTTATACACTACAAGTGAGTTTCCACAATGTGGAGGCACAGAGGTACATTTCGGACTCCTTACCTCTTCCGGTTCCCAAATTTGGTCCATTTGATGTTCCTCCCTTGGATTGAGACCGTTTCACTCATGTTTGTCCTCATAGTCATGTGTAGAAGCTATTAATCCATGTTTTGGTAAGTATGGGTCCATCTAGTTCATCTTATACACTACAAGTGAGTTTCCACAATGTGGAGGCACAGAGGTACATTTCGGACTCCTTACCTCTTCCGGTTCCCAAATTTGGTCCATTTGATGTTCCTCCCTTGGATTGAGACCGTTTCACTCATGTTTGTCCTCATAGTCATGTGTAGAAGCTATTAATCCATGTTTTGGTAAGTATGGGTCCATCTAGTTCATCTTATACACTACAAGTGAGTTTCCACAATGTGGAGGCACAGAGGTACATTTCGGACTCCTTACCTCTTCCGGTTCCCAAATTTGGTCCATTTGATGTTCCTCCCTTGGATTGAGACCGTTTCACTCATGTTTGTCCTCATAGTCATGTGTAGAAGCTATTAATCCATGTTTTGGTAAGTATGGGTCCATCTAGTTCATCTTATACACTACAAGTGAGTTTCCACAATGTGGAGGCACAGAGGTACATTTCGGACTCCTTACCTCTTCCGGTTCCCAAATTTGGTCCATTTGATGTTCCTCCCTTGGATTGAGACCGTTTCACTCATGTTTGTCCTCATAGTCATGTGTAGAAGCTATTAATCCATGTTTTGGTAAGTATGGGTCCATCTAGTTCATCTTATACACTACAAGTGAGTTTCCACAATGTGGAGGCACAGAGGTACATTTCGGACTCCTTACCTCTTCCGGTTCCCAAATTTGGTCCATTTGATGTTCCTCCCTTGGATTGAGACCGTTTCACTCATGTTTGTCCTCATAGTCATGTGTAGAAGCTATTAATCCATGTTTTGGTAAGTATGGGTCCATCTAGTTCATCTTATACACTACAAGTGAGTTTCCACAATGTGGAGGCACAGAGGTACATTTCGGACTCCTTACCTCTTCCGGTTCCCAAATTTGGTCCATTTGATGTTCCTCCCTTGGATTGAGACCGTTTCACTCATGTTTGTCCTCATAGTCATGTGTAGAAGCTATTAATCCATGTTTTGGTAAGTATGGGTCCATCTAGTTCATCTTATACACTACAAGTGAGTTTCCACAATGTGGAGGCACAGAGGTACATTTCGGACTCCTTACCTCTTCCGGTTCCCAAATTTGGTCCATTTGATGTTCCTCCCTTGGATTGAGACCGTTTCACTCATGTTTGTCCTCATAGTCATGTGTAGAAGCTATTAATCCATGTTTTGGTAAGTATGGGTCCATCTAGTTCATCTTATACACTACAAGTGAGTTTCCACAATGTGGAGGCACAGAGGTACATTTCGGACTCCTTACCTCTTCCGGTTCCCAAATTTGGTCCATTTGATGTTCCTCCCTTGGATTGAGACCGTTTCACTCATGTTTGTCCTCATAGTCATGTGTAGAAGCTATTAATCCATGTTTTGGTAAGTATGGGTCCATCTAGTTCATCTTATACACTACAAGTGAGTTTCCACAATGTGGAGGCACAGAGGTACATTTCGGACTCCTTACCTCTTCCGGTTCCCAAATTTGGTCCATTTGATGTTCCTCCCTTGGATTGAGACCGTTTCACTCATGTTTGTCCTCATAGTCATGTGTAGAAGCTATTAATCCATGTTTTGGTAAGTATGGGTCCATCTAGTTCATCTTATACACTACAAGTGAGTTTCCACAATGTGGAGGCACAGAGGTACATTTCGGACTCCTTACCTCTTCCGGTTCCCAAATTTGGTCCATTTGATGTTCCTCCCTTGGATTGAGACCGTTTCACTCATGTTTGTCCTCATAGTCATGTGTAGAAGCTATTAATCCATGTTTTGGTAAGTATGGGTCCATCTAGTTCATCTTATACACTACAAGTGAGTTTCCACAATGTGGAGGCACAGACATTTTCGGACTCCTTACCTCTTCCGGTTCCCAAATTTGGTCCATTTGATGTTCCTCCCTTGGATTGAGACCGTTTCACTCATGTTTGTCCTCATAGTCATGTGTAGAAGCTATTAATCCATGTTTTGGTAAGTATGGGTCCATCTAGTTCATCTTATACACTACAAGTGAGTTTCCACAATGTGGAGGCACAGAGGTACATTTCGGACTCCTTACCTCTTCCGGTTCCCAAATTTGGTCCATTTGATGTTCCTCCCTTGGATTGAGACCGTTTCACTCATGTTTGTCCTC